AATAATAAATAATAAATAATAAATAATAAATAATAAATAATAAATAATAAATAATCTAGAGTATTTAGCTTTCGATCAGAGAAACTATTCACTCTTTACTGTTATCTTTTTGTATGTGCACCTTGCTGCAAATGAAAAAGTTCACTTAACTGCATTTATCTGGGTTGAGCATAGTTCTTGGCTGCATTGTGACCATGGCGTCCCACGACGTTCGACTTTATCTGCCCCAAGCCTGCGTGGCGCCCCACCGCACACCTCCGCATTAGCAGCCATTACCGTGCATGCCACACAGCCACTTCACATGCCACCGAAATATGCTAAATGGCACTTGAGCAGCAGTCGAGAGCATGCCCAGCCCGCGGATACACTCTGCTGGTGCTCTGCATGTAAAGAGGCCATGTCTAGGCACCACCCACGATTACTTTTGGCAGTTTGCCTTCAAGAGACTCAAGTCCACTCATGCTAATTTAAATGGAGTGCCCTGCCGTCTGCGCATGGCTTTCACTTCGATTCGGGCGCTCCCCTCACGTGCAGCTTTGGCTTTTTGAAGTTAAATGAAGTGGGCGAAGAACAAAGCAAACAAACAGAAAATATTGTCGGCCCGTGCTCGCTTCACAAAGAGTTGGGCAGCACAGCTGGAGCGAGTCTTTTTGTCACAGTCCGGTTGCATGCCACGCTGAGTGGCAGGCACACAGCCAGGCCAGCCTGGCAAACCACCAGACGCTGTCAATTTTCATTTTGTTCATTCATATTTCTATATAAATTTAGCGATTGACTCTGATGCTGGTTGGCGGTGCCCCATTCAAAATGAGTTCATGACTTGAGCATTTCTTGCAACATTTGCTTCATTTGCATAGTTCGACGAGCGGCTGCACTTTGTAGCAAATATTTTTGTGCACTGCGGAATGCAGCTGCCTCTGATTCTGCGACCCACAAAATCAAACACAAAACAAACCCCTCAAGGAGTGCTGGGGATGCTGTGGCAAGTTTGTTTTTGGGGCGCGCGACAACTGCCTCGTCGCACCACCAAGCTGCATCGCCAGGGTGTCTGGCAGCTCTCGTGCGAGAAGAAAGAAACAGAAAGAAATGGGGGAAAATACAATTTTGTGCAGTGCTGCAGAAGCAAAAGTTTAACAACAATGATGAAGGAAGTGGAGGGAGAAGAACACGTGGCATGTTTTGAATTGGATTTACACATGTGCCGAGCTAATACGTGTCCTGCACAGCGACGTTTTTCAATTTCCAGCAGCCGCGGACGTGGGACAGCAATGCAGCCAAAAATCATTGCCTACTTTTTGGGGCGCGCAATTTAAGTGGATCACACAATAACTATGACTTCTTATATTGCCAAGCCTAATATCACCAAACTAAACAATGAAATTCAAAATAAATTTCATGCGAAGTGCAGCTCGAAATTTATTATCGCAATTAAATTGTACCAAAAAAAAAAGATTATTCCGAAATAAAAGCGCATAAATTGCGAGTACATAAATTAACAAGTAAGCAATGGCTGAATCAGTGCCGTTGCACTCGTTTAACAACACTAACAACCAGCCACCAGGCAGCGAGTGGTCACAGCCCCGCATACCACCACCGTATAAAAAACATTCGACAGCACGCATCGTAATGCGTTGAAATGCGTCGAAATGCCACCAATTTTGTAGAGCTTAAATTGCGTTAGACATTGGACGGCGGAGACGAAAGCTAACCACCCCGATATTAGCATTTAGAGAGGGTGTGTGTCAATACACTGCGAGAAATATCGGCACGGCAAACATAAACAAACGGGCAACCAGATGCCTATTGCTTGATGAACTTTCTAGATATACATTTTTATGTATGAAAGTCAAACTTTATAAATTTATATACTTCAATAAATGCCTCTCCTGCGATATTGAAATATTCTTTATATTTCTGATTATTCAATTCAACATGAAGGCTCAAATTATATTGATATTATTTTCAAATACTTCTACTGTTTTATTGAATGATATTTTAAAATTAATCCTCTTCTATTTATCTATGAATGTCTTAGGCACTTTTCATATTTCAGAGTATTTTAATTTCAATAAATCTCTTTTTTTCAATTTTTATAATTATAACTATGATAATTTGATCACTTCTGTAAGTGGATGGAAATTTGCCCAGACATTTGACCAGTGTATATGTTGTTTTTCCTTTTCGCCTGCATTCCGGGCCAAACTCGTAAAAACGCCGGGAATTTATCGCCTTGGAGTAGATTTTTGGGGTAGAGAACGTAGAACACAGAACACCGGGGGTTGTTATTGTTGTTGTTGATATTGTTGTTGCTTTTGTTGCTGCTACTTTGTTGTTGTTGTGCAATTGTCGTCAGTTGTTGTAGTTGTTGCATGAGCGAGTCTCTATGTAGCTGTGTATCGAAAGCGTTTGAGGCCAAACTTTTGCCGCTTAAGGAAAATCGATGAAAATCCTTGCCTCCTTGGCTCCCATGTCGATAGGCCAACCCCCAGTAAGTATACGCACAGGTGCTCACACACACACACACATTTATGTTATGTGTATGTATATATTGTAATTTCAATAGCTCAGGACACGCCACATTAGGCGACATTTTGTTGTGATCAAATTGTGTTGCCTTCCGGGGCTCTGCCAAGAAAAGGCTTTTCTTTCCGTTTACGGAAACTGCGCACTTGACAAAATGTTTAAAGCAAGCAAAAAAAAAATCCAAACGCTTTCTAGTTGCATTTGACATATGAAGTGTATAAACTGTACTCAACGAGACGTCCAAAACAAACTTCTATTGGAAACTCCTGCATTTTTTCCATTTATTTTCTAGCCTTGTTTGTATATATTTATACTTGCTATAAATGTATGTATTT